ATGCGTATGTGTGTGTCTTCGATCAAATTTGCTCCTCTGGCTTGCATCTCTGTCATTGTTCCTCTGTGATTTGATTACCATGTGCCAGCCCTCAGATGGCTATTGCTATCTCGCCGTTATAGCATGATGAGTCCGCATCTCTCTCTCTCTCTCTTTCTATCTCTTTCGTCCTGCATCTGTCTGTCATCCCTGCCCTTGTCCTTAGTATTCCCCTGTCCCAGTCCAGCCCCGCTGGTCTTTCTGACCATTTGTTTGCGTTCTTGCTTGTATGTTTGATTTGATGGCATGTCCTGCCCTGCCTTGCGGTCTTCTAGGCTCTGCAGACTTTTCTAGAATGATATGTACACATACACAAACGAAGAGGCGCGTTCTGTGGATATTGGGAAGGGGGAGTGAGTTCGACCCTCCCCCCCTGAATTGCAAGGGAGGGGGGGGGCTTCGAACTGGGGCCCAGGGGCCTCTTGGAGGCCTCTTGGGGGCTCCTGGGGCCCTCTTGGGGCGGAAGGCTCGAGTTTTCGGTTCGTGGTCCCCCTCTTGGGCCCCTCTGGGGGCCGTCTTGGGGCCGTCTTGGGCCGTCTTGGGCGCCTCTTGGGCCGTCTTGGGGCCCTCTTGGGGCCCTCTTGGAAGCTTCTTGGCCCATCTTGGGGCGCTCTTGGGGGCCTCTTGGGCCGTCTTGGAGCATCGGATCTCCGAAAAGGCGACAAGGCCAAACTCCTCCAAAATCCTTGCTGAATTTGGCCTCTCGGTCCCTCTTGTGAGGCCTCTTGGAGGCCACTTAGAGGCCTCTTGGGCCGTCTTGGGGTCATCATCGGCGTCTTGGAGCGCTCTTTGGGCGTCTCGGGGGCCTCTTGGGCAGTCAGGAGGGGGGTAGTCGATTGCGCCACTCCCCTCGGAGGCCACGATCCTCGTGAGGGGTGTCGAAAAGTTGCCCGGTCTGGCATCTCTGATCCGAGTTTCCCGGGGGTGTCCCGGGGGTGTCCCGGGGTGTCCCGGGGTGCTTTTCGCCCGCATCTTAGCACGCCCTTGGCCCGTTGGGCCGGCGAATTTCATAGTGTTGGCCTGGCGGGCAGGCCACGCAAGCCTCCGATACCCCTTCAAAAATCAAAAACGCGCCCACCAAGAGGGCCTTGGAAGTGTGGAGTCCCAGACGCACTACTGAGGCTTCTGAAAAAAAAGGTTACGCGGGGATTCCCGAGCGTTAGACCCGGCTGTGGGTCTCAGGTGGCTCAGCCTGTGCTCCGTCCAGCAGGAGAGGGGTGTGGGGGGGGGTGGCAGCTTCTGCCTTTTTCTGACACTGGGGGGGGGCCAGCGGGGCTTGTTCGGCCGTCGTCGCGTTTGCGAGGGCGCCTTTGCGCGGTCAGCGTTACTTCGAGGATTTTTGTGGCGGCCAACCGTGATGCCAGAGTGTCCCGCTGCAGGGGTCGTTCGGCCGTTCGCGCCAGGGCGCCCAGCTCCGCAAATGATAACGCTTGGGCACGCACCCGGGACCGTCAAAAACTGATCCGCAGTTAAACATTGCACCAGATGGACCTCGGGAGGGGTCCGGGGACCGATTTTTGAGTAGATTTAGCTTCATCCCCCCTCGTGAGAGAAACCAAGTATTTCTTGGGGTCAACCAGTTCAGACAGACCCCTTGGCCGCCTTCAACCAGAGAGCCTGCTTGAATTCTGGCGATCCTGGCTCTCCTGGAATTCTGGCGATCCTGGATCTAGGTGATATTCATACATGGATTGCATCATTTTGCGCCGCATATTCGCATCGAGGATGCTAGACACTAGTGTTGGGGGTCCACACGCTGGCACAATTCTAGCTCCCCCCTGTGACCTCTTTGGCGGAAGCAGCGCAGCTGCTCATGATTTGAATATACCGCGCCTTGGTGCACATGCCATTTCGCTGTTGGAGAAGGGCAGAGTGTAACATGTGTATGCACATCAGTGTGAACCCCGCAAGTCGGAATAATGCAATTATCATATTCTGTCCTCGTCTTTTGTCAGTACATGTAATAAGTTGGGAGCTGTTTCCTCTTCCCTCCTCCTCCTCCTCCTCCTCCTCCTTTCATGTTCTCCTTATCCTGCATGTCCTCCCTCTCATCCTCCTCTGCCTTCATTATCCTCCTCCTCTCTGACTCCTCCGCCCTACCTCCCTCCCTTTCTCCCTCCCTCCCTCCCTTCCTCCCTCCCTCGGTGTACCAGCTAGCCCGTCGTGGACCGGGCTGCGGGCTGCGTGCCAATTCCAGGACCGCGATAGTCTGGTATTAAGTTCACCATTTTCGTGACAGCGCGATTTGATTTGCTAAGCCGACTCTGATGCGATGTACGGCCAACTTTTCGGCGATATGTTTATGTATTGAACAATTCCCCCCGTGGACGGCATTAACCGTTCGCCCTGTCCTGATCTGGCTGCATTTGGTAAATCCGGCCACCGTGCCTGCGCAGTAGCGCAGCAGGAAGGAAAGTGTACGACTCGGTCCACCAGTTCAACGCCGCGTCTAAACTTGCACGGATCTGAAGCAACGCTTCCGTTCGAAGTTTTCTTCTTTCCCCTCCTCTTTCATCTCAGAGGATTTGTGGGAAGCTTCTCGG